CCCCAAAACCCCAAAACCCCATCACTATTAAAATTATATTTAGAAGTATTACTAATGAATGAAATACAAATTCATTTTATATAAAGTTTAATATAATAATGATAGTCCATAACTATTTGAAAATTAGCACACTTTCTGCAGCATTAGCAGCTCTATATATTTAATTAAAATTCTTAAACTCTTAATATTGTGGAGAAACATTATATCCTAAATATTTTGGAGGGCCTGAAGAATTCTCATGGGTATCTTCGATTGATGTGGATAATAATATGAATGTAGTAATGGGAGGTTTTAGTTCAGATGATAACTTTGCTAATTTCATTGGAACAAGCCAAAATCCAATAGTGATATTTATTAATAAAGGTGGTGGTTTCAGATGGGGAGTGTTTTTCTAGGCACTGTAGTAAAGCATACTAGCAGTCAAGTTCAACAAAGATAGTTCATAAATTTTGGCTGTGATAGAAAGTGAACCACTCTCAATAATATTAATGAATCCAGATGATGGTACATAGTTCGGCTACAAAGAAAATATTGCTGTAAGTTCTCGAGGTGGTGGATTTTGTAGTGGAGATTGCTTGCTTTTCGCTGAAGATTCAAGCAGTATTTTCCTTAGCATAGTCTCTCATGGAAAGAAATGGGAGTTACTTAAAATTAAGAATGATAAAATGAATTTTGTAGCATAAAGTAGCCTGGTGTCTCCTTTAGAGGGAATAGCTTACACTATCAAATCAAATACAAATGATGAGCTCTACATTGCAGGATATATGCAAAATCCAGCAGATAATAATAATTATGCTTCATTGACAAAAATAAAAGCATCCACCTAAGAAGTTAAATGGAATTATTTTATAAACTATGGGAAAATATCAACAGATTTCTATTACTTAAGAAGATTTTGGCTAGATATTACTCATATTTATGCATGCTCCGAGGTAACTTAAATAAATGTTGAAAGATCAATGGGAATCCATATATTTTAACTTAATGGAGATTCTTAGCCTACTTAAACCAAAGATTTTCAATATGGCGATGCCAGTTAGATATTCAGTTGTTACGATATAAGATAATTCTCTCCAACTGTCATTCATCTATTAATATAAGACAGTGCTTCACAGCTACCTTATTTAATGATCTTGAATCCAGTAGCGTCAACATATATAATTAAAACCTTGGATATCACAGTTGTTTTGATAATGATTCTCAATGCTAGGATAATAAGAGAGACATAAACCTTATTCGTTGGCCAGACAATGTCAACTTATGAAACAGCCTCTCAAATGCTAGATTAATTTTCAGGATTTGTGGCTGCATTTGATACTGATTATTCCTGCTCAGCAATTCTGATTTCTTCTAATTCAAGCCCACTTTTAGCTGCAACATCAAACACAATTGTAGCTCCAAGCATAACTTTTACGAGTATTACCTATAATTTTGTTAGCTTGACTCTTGGAACAATGCAAATTGGAAATTTAAATTAAATGAGGACTTACTTTTGTAATAGAGATGTTATTGTTACCATAACTCCGGTAGCTATCTTAGATCAAGATTATGAAGTTGCATCAACTAAGAAAGTTATTGATTTCGCTGCTTTTGGAGTTGTAGATGGTACATCATGCACTGGGCATATTTTAGAATATTCTATTGAGATTACACCTGTTGTTAGTTTTATAATGATAGATAGTTAAAGAAGAAAAATTTCTATCTATACAAATGATGACTCAAAATAAGGCCAGTATAGTATTAAACTTACAGGATCAATATACTCCTAATCTTAGCATACATCATTCAAAATTAATGTAAAAAAAGTTGATTGTAGATCTCAACCTGTATCAATCTTGAGACCAACTTCTTTTATTCCTACAGTTGATTATTATGTTGGCTCGTTAAAAGCCTAAGTATAAATAGATAATTATGCATTTACTCCAACATGTGATTATGTGTTTAGTTTCAATATTCAAACAAATCCTGTATCAAATTTTTTAGTTTTCAACCCCACTACAATGAAGATCGATATTTCTACAAATGATCCAATATTAGCAAAGATTTATACAGTAAAAATTCTAGCTACTCTAAATGATACTTTAATAACCTTGGATTAAGGATATTAGTTTTAGCTTAGAATACTGATAAATTCAACTAGTGTAATTAATACAATAGCAAGCAAATTAATTAATCATGCTCCATTTTTTGTAGAAAGCTTACAATAGCTTGATCTTTTTGTAAATCAAACATTAAACTATAAATTACCATTAACTAAAGATGATGATAATGATACTGTTTTCATCAAATATGAATTAGGTGCGGCTTCTACAATAATAACTATTTTGGAAGGCAATAGATTGCTGATCAAACCTAATTTAAAGCGTGACTATATAATCCGAATAATTTTATACGATAATAATAAGAATCAGGTTTATTCTCAAACATACAATTTAAAAATTACGGTCAAGGATATTCAATAACCTCAATAAAATCCGGTAACAGAGCCTAAAGAAAACATTACTGAAAAATTTGATTCAAAGCTATAGGCACGAATATTTAGTATTAATATGGAGGGTCTGATGATTATCAGATACTCAGAAGATATTAGAGACTAATTCATAAATTATACTACTTTTTCTCAATCTCAGATACTAATATTGTCTGTAGAACCTTCATTTTATAAAGATTTGGAGTTGTTGAGTTTCAAATGGTAACTAAAATCCTTCAAACGAAATGAGATGTAAATTAGATTAATTTTTGACAATCCTAATTATGTATCAATGAGACTCTTGAAAGATAAAATAAAAGTAGTGTTTAATGAATAGGGATATTTTGTTGCTTTGAAATCTGGATTATCAATAAAATAAAACTATACAATAACTAGAGATCTCCCATAATAGCTAGAACTTACAGATGTTTCTTAATAGATAAACACTATGGGAAAGATATTTTCAGCAACAGCATTTAGCTTTATGATTTCAAACATCGTGATTATCTTTTTTGTTGGAGGATCCTTGTAACTTATTTGGGGTCTCATAAACTCATTATAAATTATTGTACACTTGCCTTTGTTGCCTTTTGAATTCCCTTCAAATGCAAAATCCTTTTTTGTGATGCTATTCTAAGCTGCAAGATTTAATTTTATTCCTCCTGATACTTTTACCTCTGTATTTTTCAATGGATAAGATGACAATGAAGAGGAACCTTTTAATCAAAGGTTTTTCGATATGTATATCTTTTGAAATATAGAGCTTTTATGATAAAATAAATTTTAACTTATTTACCCTATGAGACAGCTAATTTTATAGATATGATTGACAACTTGTTTTATTATGAGGTCCTAGTGATTTTGATTACTTTGATTATTTGGCTTTTGAATAAAATAGTTCTAAATCATAGATAAAAACTGTAATTTTAATTGAATGTTGATATTTTAACTATAGCTTGCAAAAAATTTTGAAAATTTTGAATGAAAAGATTGTTTTTAGTCTAATTTTGAGATTACTCATCGAGGGCTATTTAGAATACTCAAAAGCATCCCTTGCTTCTGTTTAATATGTATAATATTGCCACTTAAACTTATAAATAGCTTAAAAATAGAACAATATTCGAAAGATTTTCAAGTCTGTTCTCTGTAATTTAGTTAATAGTAGTGATAGTGTTACCGATCTTTACAATATTTATATTAGTGAGATATCAAGATAAACTTGATGACATCGAAATTAAGAACAAATATGGATCAATATACTCTGATTTAGAATACCAATTTAAATAAAACCAGATATACTTTGTCCTCTTTATATTTAGAAGATTATTATTGATGATTTAAGCTACTCTTATTGAAAACCATCAATTTACTAACTTGATTATTCTTTTTTCTACTAGCTACATATTAATATTCTACATTTCCAAATATAGACCATTTCAAGTATATATTCACAATTAACTTGAAATTTTTAATGAGATTTGTATACTAATAGCTAAATATCATCTGATTGTGTTTACTGATTTCAATGAAAACCTCAAAGCAAAGTATGACGGGGGATGGTCAATTATTAGTGTAACATGTTTAGTAATTATTGTTAATCTCATTTTTATCATTGGACATACATTTTAACAAGCCATTATGGCTCTTAAAAAGATAAGATATGAATACTTTTTAAAGCAGAGAATCAAGAAATAATAGGAGGAGATTTAAGAACAAAAAAATACATCCACTTAAATTTTAATAAACAATTTTCAGCTAAATATACTACTTGATAAGATAGACTAGTAATCTGATGATTAAAAAGCCTCAATCGTTTTGAAGCCAGTAATATAAAGATAAAACCTTCAAAAAGAAAGTCATACATACATTAGAGAACAAGATGACGAAGTATAGTTTGAAGAGGTTCACACACTTGAGAGCTTTTTAGGAAATAGACCAGGCTTATTAAAGACCCCTAATTTTATGAAAAACAGCTAGACTCAGGTGTTGAAGATGAAACCTCATTAGTCTAATGTAGAATTTGAAGATTGTAAAATAGAGGATTTAAATATTCAAAACTAGCAATCTCTGAACAACCCTAATTTGCTTAGAGTAGATGATTATTAAGACAATACAACTATAAACTCTTATCAAAACTTATCATCAATAGCAACTATTAAAAGGAAATCAATAGGTCTAACCAGAAGAAAAAGCATAAATAGAAAAGAAATTAGAAGAAATTCTAAAAGGAGCAATTCTAAGTAGCTTAGAATAAGTCCTCCATCCTAAAATTATACAAATCTTTGAGATATTAATTTTAATTTGAACAAATTTTAGTTTTTATTTTGATTTGATTCGTGATCCATGGGGTTTTGGGGTTTTGGGGTTTTGGGG